AAAGTCCATGAATTTGTGTGGTAAAGTACCAAAGTACCATGCAGGGTACCTCGACTTGCATATTCGCCCCTTCCGTCATTGTTGTACCCGCTTTAAGCGGATTAGCGTGCCCAAGTGCCCAGGTGCCCACAGGTTATTTCATTTTAAAATTTCCCTAGCCACAGGCAAGATGGCTCTGTGCTTGTGGCTGGTGCATACCTGTGGGTGCGATGATCTTGATTACATTTTCAGTGGACCTCGGGAAACTCCCGGATATGACAACCGTGAGAACGCAATTTCATTTCCGTCATTGCAGCCCCTGCGGAGTGCTCACATACCGTCTCCCTACTTACAAAAATAATTACGCAGTATACGGTAACTTGGAATACGACCTACGTGGCCACGAGCTCATGTGTACCTTATATTTTCTCCCAATGATAGGGCTCCACTTGTGCGTGGGTACGCCTCAATTTTCCTTCAGGGTTTGCTAGCCGAGCCGCCGTCTCTGCCGTTGGGTGTGAAACAGAGAGGGGGTTTTTCAAACAGCCTCAGTCGACAACTGTCTTATTTCTATGGTTCCAAGAGATTTTGTAGGTTATTCAGCCGCTTGTTATCTTAACTTGCCGACCGAGTCAAACCCCTATTGATCGCGCTAATTGACATAGTTTGGCCTTTTAGCCTTTTTTTCCTTTTCCTTTCATTATCTGTCTTGGATGGGAAGGGTGTCCTCGCTGAGCGTGGATCAATCAGTACAGAAGACATTGATTTTACAAAAATGAAAAAGTGAGGAACAACTTCGCTGCAACTACAAATTTCAGAAGTTTGTCAAAAGCAAAAGCACCCCGGGAGTCACAGCAATAGCCCGATCAGCGACAGATCAGCCGCGCGCATGCCTCTGCACTGCGGTCCCATCATTACGTCCACTGTGGAGAACGCCCATCATTTCTCCTGAGACCATAAATAAATAGTTAGAACCAACCCCCTGCGACGGGATTTTGCAGATGCCATGCTCCGAGGCGGTGGGTATGACCGTGCGACATGATTCCAGAGTTAGAATCGAGGCAGGGGGAATGTGGGCCAGGGAATTAAGGCTAGACTTTGACATTGCAGGAATCACTGGCACATTTGAGTTGACCAGTTGGAAAGAATGGTCAGGCAATGCCATGCGCAGATTGTTTTTCGAGTCAAATCGAGTTCTTCTCGAACGTGGCTGGCCTGTAGGGCCCTACGGCACGGAGTAGACTCCCTACCCTTTGCCCGCGATGGACATCATACACCTCATTACTGATACTCGCCTGATTATAGGATGAGTAAAATAAATCAAAAAAGCAAGGCAGATCAAAGCCCCCCAAAAAAAAGAAACCATAAAAGTTTCAAGTCTTGTCTTGCCAAGACTTGATGGTGCAAAGTGCAGGGATTGAAGCCCAGTCCAGTTGGGACACAGATGTTCGATTTGGGTGACTTCGAAAAAGATCAAAATCCAAAATGGATGTGTCCAATTCTGTGCCCTCCACGATCACTGATAAGATAGGGATCGTGGGGAGATCGGCCTGGGAGTGTGCCATTTCCAACCGGGCTCGGTGATGCAGATGCGTGGTTCAAGGACGTGGGGGGGACACAGGTGCTTCTTGTGTCAGGTGCTTTCTGTTGGGTAACATGTCTGTGCTGCTATGTGTTGGCGATGGGACAAGAGAGAATTTAAGTCTAGTCATATATGGTGTCTAGTTGTCATGCTTATCACGTGACAATGGATGGTTTCAAGAGATCAGGAGAGCCTGTGTTGTGGCCTCATGGTTGCATAGGTTCCCCCAGGTGGGCTCAAGCCTTGAACGCGGCCCTGAGGGTCCGTTTCAGGTACTGCTAAGTCAATGATACCAAGCACTTATTGATGTGGGCTAGCTGACTTAGCCCGTCGCATCTTGATCACTTGTGGCTGTAAGCCCCTGTCAGCCATCAACAAAGGAACTTGGTTTTTAAAAGATCTGTTGATAGGGATACATAAGTACTGATGTTCCGAGGGAATGCTTCTCGAGCTAAACTATTGAAGTAAGTAAGTAAAATACCTTCAAATTCAAACTCCTTTTTCCCGCATCGCTCGTTGCATTCGAAGTAGGCACAGCATTATATGTCTTGCCACACGCCCGATGTTCAAATCAGAATTTGGATTGATTAATTCTTTTACACGACTATATACAACAGTTTGACAGAGGACAACACTAAAAAGACAGATGCGAAACAAACAAACCATCTGGATACGCACACAAAATTTTCTGCAACTATCCCATATGCCTTCCCAATGAATGACCACGTGATCGCAATCATCTTTCAACGCAGCTCATAGCTGCTTACAGAATATCAATTAATTGCCTGGGCGCTAGGCTAAAAGATTGTTGGAAGAATCGGAACATCCGATTCTTGCTGCAGCGGTATATTTGTATTAGGCCCTAAGACCCTCTAGGGACCACACCAAGGCTAGATGTCTGGAGTAGGAAACTTTGATTTTTCCGGGCAATTGTTTAGACAAGAAAAAGGCGCGGCCTATTGGATCCAATCAAGAACAAGCATACAAACAATCTAGACTGTAGTATGCACTACAACAAAGAAAAGATACCTGTGGATACCAAAGGCGCTCAGACGTTCGAGCCATGATGCTCCATCGAAAGAATAGGTTCCAATTGCGTTGATTAATCATGGTAATCGACCATGCTACGACGTAAGAAGGCAATCATCCAAGCCAGAAAATTGGCAGTTTTGCAGTTTGGCAGAGATATAGAGGTTAAAAGTTAATCAAAGGAACCATGAGACGATGGGAGGGGCCCAAAAAAGCATTTAGGCAGCCAATGGCCCTGGAGAGGCCGGTATAACAATTGTGAGAACTGAGGTTCGAGAATCTGAGCATGCGCAAAACCTCTTAACCTTTGTACTACATGGTCAAGATTGGCGAAGATCAGCGTACTGATAATCAGAATCTGAGTGGTAGCTTTAGTAACTTTGTCTCCAAGCCTTTGTATTCCAAATCTACATTCCACCATGCGATTCGACAGTGCCGGTGGAAATTAGTCGTAGGGTTCGATGAGCTTGCAGTCAGTGGATACCGTGCTGGAAGCATTAGTGAGAATCAGCCAACTTGGAAGAGAAGCTAGATACATGTGCATTATCGCGGTTAGTGCCTCATGGGCGAAGATCCGGGAAGAAGAGCTGCCCATATGGGATTATGTTTGGAGATAGCGACCTCAGGGCTGCGAACAGTTGAGAGGGAATGGTGCCTTCATGTATAGTGTTGTACCTGCCATTTCCCAAGGAATTTGCGACGAATGGCTGACCAGTCGATCCATTCTGACAGGTAAGTAGTTTGGTCGACCAAATAGCTGTGAGATTCAAGAGAGATGAAAGAGTCGATCATTTTCGATGATGATCCATAGCCAGCACATAAGCAGACCGCGACTCCTCATGTTGGGTGCTTGAGAACAACCAGCACCCACATTTGGGGGGATATGATTGATCTACACTCGCCATCTGCCACTGTCATCCCCTGCCGTTGCGTGCTTGGCTAATTGTAGTTGTATGGTTGATCACGGCCATAGTTTAAGGAAGAGCACATTATTCTCGTGTAAATGGAGCAAAGACTGATAGCCAAGGGGGGGTTTGTAAAACAGCGTGCAGCTACAAATAAAGGAAAAACAGAAGATTAGACCGGAAGTGCGGCAATGTTACGGTTGCCGAGCACTGAACACGCAATCATTCGCTCCTGACCGCTCACCTGGGCAGCCAAGCAGAGAATTTGGGTTTGTATTCGGTGCCCAGGCATCCAGACAGAAAAACCGAATAAGCCAAGAGTTGAGCTCCGTCGAAGAGATGGCAAATTCTGGATCTGAAGCAGTTGTTGGAGGCGTCGACTCCCCAAGACGATGAGAATCATCTCGATGAGGCAGCATAATATAAGGGCCAGAAAGCCAAGACTTCCAGGAATCTTCCTGCCCAGAGCTGGAGGTATCTGGCAAGAGGAATCAAGATTGGCACGGAGTATCTATTTTGGCTGTTACTACTCTGTGGGTACCTGGGCAAAACTCGAGAGAGTCTTTGGCAAAAGTTAGGTGTGAGATGAACAATCTGAAGACCTTTTCTCCGAAATCGAATGCCAACCTCTCGGCGTCTGGGCGCTGACCCTCCTTGGGGATGCTGTGACCCCTAATTTTGCAGGCTCCCACATTTATGGTAGCCTTATGCGGTTCTGTGAGGTCCACTGTTGTGAGTACTAAACCACATATAATTCATATGCATACAGCTTTTCCACGTATTTTTGGAGGATAAGACTATATAGATTGGGCAATAGGAGCAATACATGTCATCACGTGCGTAAGGCAGATACCGCCAAGATTCCAGGATTCGTCTCAGCGCGGATCATCTCATCGCAGTTGACCAATCAGAGACCGTAAAACATTGACTAGTCGTCCCCGGTGGCTGCTTGGCGTCTTGGCAGGTGGTAAAATCTCGTAATTCGTCTGCACCTTTGACCCCTAGACCACTTAGCGTCTTTGTTTCACGGTAGGACAACTGCACATCTTGTCCGACACAACCCTGCCCTGCTATCGAGTACGCTATTGACAGCCATGATCGGGATCTGAGATAAAAGGATCAGCAGGATACCAATCAATGATTCTTGTACCCCGTACAAGGCTCGACTCAATGCCAAGATCTCGGCATCTGGGCGTCTTGGCGAGAGGGACTGCAAACAGCAGGAAATGCTCCTCCGCTGTCTGGCACGGCATTTCTTGGGCTTTCCTGGCTTTTCCGCTCTTTCAAGCTGCGGCTCTCCGTGATATCTTATAAATCTCTCTTCCGCCCTCCCTGCCCGCCCCCTTCCCCCTTCGACTCGTCAATAGACAGCCCCCCTATGCCCGAAAGTTTACGACTACGGAAATCATGCGGTGAATTCTACATGCAATAGTCGCCCTCTGTGCGCCAATCTTGTACGACTTTTTGCTTCGTCTTTACCTCCAGCCTTCATTTACTCGCCCGGCATGCGGTCACCGGAGATGTCATATAGTCCCGCCTACTTTCAGGACCAAGGACCTCATGAAACAACAGATTCTCGCAGCTCGATCGTCACCCCTCCATCAGCTGCCCGTCGATCTCAGGAACAATCCTCCGTCTTGGGTCACCCCGTAGGCGAATCTCGACCCTCCTCCCCCACACCAAGCTGCGACGTCAGTCCCCACACTTCAGGCCCACGGGCACACCGTGCATACCATAACCAGACAACGAGAGGAGCTTCCTGGCCTGGTTCAGACCTTCGAGATACCGACTCAGTCCCGGCTAGCGGCTCATCAATAAGTGGTGCATACAAGGAAGAGCGGTCCCCCAGCAGCTGGACAGACCGGCCGTCATTGATGTCTGGGGAACACCCCAGCCCGAGCGTAATCCGTGTCCGGAAACGAGCTATTCCGGATGAAGAACTAGTCAACGCCGAGGGCCAAGATGCTCTCCTGATGCTGGTAAGTGTTGAACACAGCGGTCCATTGTTTCATACGCTAATCAAAGCTGGTAGTTCCGTCTCACAATCGTCCCACTCTACTCATTCGGCGCTTCTCTATACGCTATCTTTGCTCTTGTATTCGCACTCCTTGTTTCACCTTTCCGTCTCTGCCCATTTTCCTCATACCTCTGTGCAACAACGTTCGTATCACAACTTTGCGATCTCTTCTCTCCTGCCCTCCATATTCATGAACGACTCGTCTGCTTGCAACCACCAACAGTGGATGACCGATCCTCTTCGACCCAATCAACCCAATGGATTCATTCAAAGCGAGATTCAGACCTACCGTCAGTCACATCCAAGCCCAGCGAAGGCTACGCGGTGACTACTTCAATTCTCGTCCTGGTCTTATCCCCGTTATTTAGCATTGTGATCCTTCTTTTCGCATGGATCACCGCGTTTTTCTGGGTCTTCTCCAAGGTCCTGGGAAATCCGGATGGTACCGAGCGGAAGGACGATGGCCGCACCGCCGTTCTGGGAGTCTGCAAATGGTGGCGGTCATGGCTTTGCAAAGCCCGGAAATCATAGCGACACCCAACGCGAGCCTGTTAGAATCAAGCAGGCCAATCAGTGACACATGTCACCGCCAGCTTCATGAAAGCTGCATCCGTTCCTGCCCCTTTAACTTGAAACATCGTCCCGTACTGCCTGATACCCTACCCTTCCCTCTCGGTACGTGGGCGTCACTGGGAACTTGTGGAAAGACCTCACTTTGCTTTCCCTCAACCCTTCACGTGCTGATATTACCCTCATCTTTGTGGCTATGACTATACACATTCTGCATAGTAGGTGCACGCGGCGTCTGGTATTGGCTTTTATTTTTACACGGCGTCTATATGGGCGCATAATGAAAACGGATTTCTTTCGACGTGCTTCCTTCTTGTGATCGTGTCATGCAGATTATCAGGGCGTGGTTGGTCTCTCCCCTTGCTCAACTCGAGATTTTCGACCCTGTCTTTTCTGTTGAGCTGGTGAGGGACTCTCGACCTGCCTTGGATTCGTACTTGTATGTATGAAACTTGCCTGCGGGAGGAGGTTGTGTTTATGCACTGCTCTCGAGCGCGAATTTGATACCCGGGTTTTTTGGCTATTGATTATAGGTATTTGCTTGAAGTTAAAACTATAGGATTCTGTCTTTGATCACTCGGTCATTGCCGGATAGGTAACGACAAGTATGTGCAGTTGAAGGGGGCTCATCGCTTCAGGTGATCGTCTTATGCCTTCCAACGTACCCTAGGTAGGTATGCACAAGAATAGTAAGCTTTTGCTCCGTGGAAAAAACTACAATGCAATTGGATATATGTGAATGATATTTGCCCAGTAGGTCGGACGTAGGTCTGGCAAGTGCACAACCCAAGTCGAGGTCGACATGAACTGACAAAAACAAAGTAGCAAAATGTGTAGCATTCAATTGGCATCATTGTGCATATACTTCCCTATCATCACTCACATAGTATCCATACTGGAGTCTCCCCTCACTATGACCTTGCCTTCGCTGAATCACCCTACCCCATAGGATTATCCTTGTAGAGACGACTCCACATTTTGTAATTCCTAACCTCAATGTCTCCATTGCAGCACCTCCAATGTGGACAGTAGTCGCATGAGACACCTTAATCGGCAGCGTGAACCGCCACTCGCATATCGTGGCCCCAGATGCCAAGATCTCTCTTACATTGATTGGACGCACAAAAGCTCGCCCGACAACAGAAGTCTATCCATCAAAAGCCACAGGCTACAGAGACGGGAAGCTTTTCGAGCTTCCATCTCAAGCCTTGTTACGTGGAACTATACGCATACCCTCGCCCAGCACCCCAACCGACTGGATAATCGTCCCCTTCTCAATTGACATCCCCGAAGCAGCTTCGCTGTCAGCAGTCCGCGACCACGCACAATCAGAGAACTCCATTCCCTTAGAAGTGCACTGCATCACACAGTACCGGAACTTTCTATATTGAATGAACCGGAGCAAAGGCTTGCATCGAGCATTATTTCCACGCGCAGCTGCGGTATGTGCGCGATGGCCCGTGGCATGTCCAACGTGCGACAGCGCCTATCACACTGGGCTATCCGACGGTAGACACGGGTGGGATCCGTTTCGCGCTGCAGCGGTGCAGTATCGTGGGCCGGGTGCGCAGCCAGCGATTACTTCCGGCGATGCGGAATGTGGATTTGTCCTTGACGCAGAAGACGCAGAAGATTCTTGGATTGTCTTCTGTTCCTGGATTCAGCTTCGAGGTTGCGATGAGTGTGCCGATTGCTATTCAACTTGACAATTCGTCGCCGATTCCGCTTATTCTTAGGGTTATACTGCAGCGGGATGGGAGTAATCGTGCTATTTGGGATGTTGTACAACAGGTCGATGTCACTGCGGTTAAGATGAGTCTTCTTTCGAAAGTTGAGATTGTTCTCAAACCGAGTGAGGATGGTCTTTTTAGAATTCCTAATGATGAGCACGTGTTTGTTCAGCATTTGGGCCCGGAGAAGGCGTTTGAGTAGCTCAAGGATCCTATTGTAACCTTTGCTGGACTGAGTGATACACCGGTCGATATTGGGAGGGTGCTTCGGCGTGTTGCAGCCTAGTTATGTCACTTTCAACACTAGGCTGAGTCAATCGATAATATGGCAGACTTCTCTCACTACTGCCGGGGAGACACAAAATGTGTTGATGACGACTGTTGTCACTGTGTACAACAGCACCTCTAGATTGTGAGGTTGTGTTTGTTAATACAAACAGCTTTTTGAATTTGATAAGCATCAACTTTGTGGACGGAATTCGCTCCTGTCATGTTGCATTGCCAGGGCATATCCCTTGTCGATTATAAGACAAGGGGAGCAACAGTAAATAGCTCAATGATTGCACGGTCGAACACTTGTATTTGAATTGTCATTTAAAATCACAATTGGCAGATTATTATAGACAGGGGAGTATCAAAAGAATGAAGCTGCAGCTGCTTCAATAGTTACCGGTTCGTAGTCAACGTCATCCCCATCGTGGTTGACAAAAGAATGGTCAGGGCCATTAGCATCATCATCAGAAAGGCCAATGTCATGCACATCCAAACCAGTAACACCACGAGACAACATCTGGATCTTTATCTCCATATCATGTTTTCTCTTTTGTTCCTTCACCTCCTCCTCTGTCGTCCTCTTCAACTCCCTCTCATACATGCGCTGCTCCTCTTGGTCCCGGGCATTGTCTGCCCAAACCTTCAGGTGCTCCGGATATCTTAGACACCAGATCACAATGTCCCGTGTTGCATGTGCATCCTCCAGTGCACTGTGCCCCTGTTTCCCGACTTGTATCTCATAGTTTACCAACTCATTGGTAAGAGTCTTCAGACTCCATGTGCGGTTGAGTGGTTCACCGGCGTGTACAGTGTAAAACACCGCTTCGCTGGTAATGATAGAGGAGTCAACAATGTTCCAGTGGATGATACCCAAGACGTCAAGATCATTGTTGAGAGAATGACCAATGAGGACAGTTTCGCTATCCATGAACTCCCATAATTTCGAGCGCGCTCCTTCCCAGCCAAACAACGCCGTCCCTTTCTTCACAGCTTTGTTCATGGCGCCAGGAGTCACCCCACTGAACCGAGAATCCCAATTCACGACTCTCGATTTCGGCTGCACATAATTGTCGATGAGAACCTCGCCAGTCAAAAAGTCAATTGCGCTCAAAAAAGCAAGCTCTCGACGCCCGGCTTCGACTTGCACCATCTCGCAGTCAAGAACGATTGCTTTCCTTTTCGGTAAGCTGTCTGAGGAGCGAGGAACTTGGCGGAAATGTCCTGTCTTTGGAGGGGGCTTCTTTGACGGGCGTCTGCTAACATCTGCCAAGCCAGCCCGAAAGGTAAAGCCTCGGGTAATCAGACGAGTGTCCGAGTGACATCGTGCCGACAAGTAGCGAAAAATCAAATTTTGCTCGAGCGGCTCGAGGATAACATGATAGTTTGCATTTTGGATGGCAGGTGATGATGCATTCGGGTGATCAGGTTCAGAGGAGTTGTTCCATAGGTCTTCAAGAGCCTTTGTCCTCACTGGAGCATGGGCTGGGGTCTGGTTTGATGCGCGCTTCTTATTTGGCTTTGCAGGCTTGGCAGGCAAAATCTCAGAGCGATCCAGGGACTTCTCAGTCTTTGGTTTCTTTGAAGTGGGGTTCGCAGCTTTGACAGACAAAGACTCAAACAGATCCTGAGACTTTTCAAGCTTTGTTTTCTTTGTGGTAGATTTTGTAGGGTTGGTAGGGTTGGAAGACAACGGACCGGGGTGATCGTGTGACTTGGTCTTTGGTGATGGCTTTGCAGGCTTGACAAAAGACTCGGACAGTTCGGGGTACTTCGTAGATTTCAGAGGCTTTGGATTCGGGTTCGCAGGGTTGGTGGACAAGAGCTCGGAAAGATCTTGGGGCTTCTGCTGCTTTGTGTTCTTTGGCGCTGGCTTTGCCGACTTGAGAGGTTTGAGATCGGAAGCATCTAGGGGCTTTTCATGCTTCTGGGAGTGCTTGAGTAACGCCGTTACATTTCCAAAAGATCTGTCGCAGGGGCTGCAAGCAAGTTTGTGGCCTTTGGACTCAAAATGAGCCTTGACGGCAACAGTGCTCTTGAAGCCACCCCTCTGACATCCAGGGCAGACGAACAATTTGTCAACGGCTGTTGTAGGTGAAGCCATGATAGATAGAAGAGAAACTGACGCGTTGTTTTCCAAATTTGTCGCGAATTGGCTGTACAGAGATCTATTATGGAAGAAGCAATATGTGTATGTCTTGCCTAATCGAGCCCAAACGTGGGGAGTAGGGATTGGTAGATGTGGCACTTTGCCGGTGACCGCTGCGGGAGCCTATGGGTCAATGTGCCAGTGATATTTAATCGATGAGGCAGTCTTTAATGTGGGAATTATCTTGTTCAACTTAAGCCGGTTCGACAAAAACGTTGAGTGAATTGATAATTGATCTGAAGAGGGAATGAAACTGGCCAAGCCGAGATTCTACCAGATTCTGCCGTGTTGGGATGGAGCCTGAAATACCAGGCTGAAAAAGGCATTCGGGTGTCACCGCCTTGTTATTCACAGCGCAAGACAAGAGCTTCCCCGATAACAAGAGGATCTCTCTACCCTGCAACCAAAGCTCGGGTTGCCCACACTCGGATACTTAAGAAGTCCCAATAGCATTTAAACACCTACACATTAATGATGAGCTTGCGGTCTCGCTTTATCGGAAATCTGATGTGCTATGGGACTTTTAAAGACTTCTTTGCCTTGCCTGATAAAACTACCGATATTACGCTTGCCTTGGACGATCAACTCCCGTTAACTATAGAGTATCGCCTCCTAGTGAAAAATCATTTATAAAGCGGGACATATAATTTTTGGATTGAAAATTCTTTTAAAAGAATCATATTCTAGGAGAAGCCCTTTACTTTTTTATAATTAAATCCTTTTAGATTGGGAAAAGTAATAAAACCCTTTGATTTGTTGTTACTTTTTTCCTAGTCGTTAAGTCTTAGAAGTCACAATTAAAATGCAACTATATCATTGGTGGCTAGACAGAAATGAGTAAACACGACAACTTTGCGATGAGGCCCCGAGTGCGAAATGTCCTCAATCTGTCAGTTCAGCCACTTTAGATCTGCCTGATGCGCTTCGTGATGGGGTTATAAAATGAGAATAGAGTTGAGCTGTTTGATTATTAGACTATTGTAATTTCAACAGTGGTACAAGGAATTCTGAAGTCTGAGATGGAAGTTAGACAACATTGGATATTGGACTCATAGCAACCGAAAGAAACCTAAGATAATCACAGCTAATGACATGAATTCTCTGCTTTGGCTATGGATTATAATGGAAATGAAACCACATGCTAAACGAGAGCTTCTCACACCCGGATAACTAGATGGAGTCACTCGAGTGTATACTCAGAAAATCATCTACATACTTGGGAGAGATTTGGAATCACTCTTCTCCCAAGGATGATGCTGTTCGATTTCCCGGATGAGCTTTTCGTGCACCGCACTTCGCGGCCGAATTGACACCTTGAACGGAGCCGGATGGCTAATCACACCGGGGAGAAACTTGGGTAGGAAATATTCGGTAACCCCGTTTTGTACCGGTTTCGAGATACTGAAGACAGCCAGAGCCTGAGCAACAGTGAGAAAGACATGTGCGTCTGCCAGGGTACGTCCAGGACAGGCTCGGCGACCAAACCCGAACACAAGCATGTGGGGATCGCGCTCTGGGAGTTTGCCGTCGGGGGAGATCAAAAAGCGCTCCGGACTGAATGTCATTGGGTCGTGATAGACGGTTGGATCGTGCGTAAACCCCCTAGGAGATTGATAACTGCATCAGAAACTACCCTCTCCTACAGTGGACAAGAGCAACCTACCAGATATTTGCAAGAATAGTGGATCCCTTGGGGATGAAGTAACCATCGAATATATCATCCTGGGTTGACGTGTGTGCACCAGCCATGGGTGCAACTGGATGCCATCGGAAAACTTCCTTGACTAGTGCATCCACATATGGAAGGTTTTCTCGATCTTGAAACTGGGGTAGTCGATTGCCCCCAAGCACTGTGTCTAGTTCCTGTTGAGCCTTGCGTTGCGCCTCCGGGAAAAGGGCCATTGCGAGAAAGAAACTCTCAATAGATGAGACAGTCTCATGATTGTTAGTCTAATATGATGTGCACAGCTTGGATTTGATCTCACTGTATCTGCGCCTCCGGCGTATAAAGACCCAACTGACCACTTGACGATGTTTTCTTCTTCAGTCCCAGACTCTACAGGATTGTTTTGAAGAAGATTGGACAGGAAGGATGGCACGAAGTGACAATCGCTTATTTGCTGCTTGGTGAATTCGTATGGAACATCAGAAAACGACTCTGCTTCCGACTTGTAGCTTTGAGCAACCTTCACGAACCCTGCCCCAGGGAACCAGGACGGGAGATATCTCACTAACCAAGCGAGTCAGAAAAAATTACATAATTCAGTGTGTCCACGTAAAAATCATCATGCTTTACCTACATATTGGAACGAAGTCCACTGCCCAGGTTGCTGGAAGAAAGGCAGATGAAAAGCCCTCCATCGCCTTATTGGCCAGATTCACAAGAGGGTCCTGAGCATGGGGCTCAACGGTATAGCCGTAACCAATTTTCAAGACAATCGCTCCAGCATCTCTGCTCACAATTAGCATTTGTTTATAAAAATTGAATGCTTCTAAATGGAGTCATCGACTGACTTTTGTATGTGCTTTTGGAGCTTGTCTGGCTCATCCAATACCCTCAACAGAAAACGACCAACCTCCTTTGTCTGAACATCGTTGAAACGGGCAACGGAATTTTTTGAACCCATCTGTTGATACAAGTGTTTCTTTGTTTTTCTTACCCGGCCCGGGTTATTGAGCGCCCCAAGGATATTATTCCAGCCCGACCTGTCGAGATCAGTCGCCCTGGTGTCATCCCGAAGATACCTTCACTTACATGTCAGAAAACGTGTTTTGTGGACGTCCAGAGTGTATAGCGGAACGTCTTTCTAGAAGCTGCATCGCTAATTTAGCATCGTTAAGGATGATGATATGTTTCCCCAGTACAGTGAGTGAGCTAATAGGTCCTAATTCGGGGGGTCAACATCTCAAGCTGGGTATATTCTACATGAATTCAGCCTTACCGTAGAGCTCCTTAAATTTCAGCCAATGCATCCAGTCTTGTTGATCTGGGCTTGGAAGATCCTTCAGATTTCCGATGATGGGTTTTTGTTTAGGACCCGGAGGAAGAGGCAGGGGGTATCTTTTGCGGCCGGTAAGGGTCGTGGCAACCAAATATCCAAAGGCAATGAGAGGACACAACCATAGCGTTAAAAACATGTTGATGTTGGAATTGATGTTGAAATTGAAGTTGATGTTAAAGGTGTAATTTCGAAAGATGATGTTAAGAGAGGGGAGCATGTACTTTTGCTGGGTAAGACTGCTTCTTAAACATCTTGATGAGGGGCTTGTATACACACAAATACGCGCAAAATGAGTGGTAAAAATTGATTGGTCTTCGGAGATTGTGAGAAGGTAGTATTGCAGGAGACATGTCCTGCACTCAATCGAGTGCCCATCACGTACGAGAGGTCATTTAGATGCAGGTAGGAGGGGTGAGATCTACATGCATATTCCTGTATTCATTCCATCTCTACGCCATGTGAGGTCAGTGTGTGTGGAGCCCCAGATCTACAAGCCTTCTGACTGGCTACGAAGACTCAAATTTCGTTGATTTGCAAAAAGTCCTTGCTACTTTGCTTGTGACCTCGGATCGAAACATCGATCTGTTATTTTATGTTGATGATCGAGGTGCTAATAACTAGAACGTACAATATACCACAACAGGATGATGCTTATAGTAGCTTATCTATACTACAAACGCTAATTGATGGCAAAGAGGTTACCGAAAATCTATCGACACTAACCCCTGCATTGTTGTAACCAAAGTACAGACCCCAAAGGTCCGTCCTGGAAAATTGAGCCCTTATCTCGGAGCTCAAATCCTCTGAGCTCGCATTGGCTGCCAAGCCGTATCGTAGAAAACGGTCTTTTCTCGAAGTGACTCACAGGTCGACGTATGACGCAAGCCCATATGCTGATATGCACTACTCCGTACCAGGGGCTTGTTTGCTTTCGACAGGTTCCCACGATTACCGTGTTCGGTTTAGCCTCATCTACGAGCATCAGCCACAAGGGTTGAGATTGGGGTCACCTGACATTTACAAGGTCAACTTTAATGGTTACCCAGTTACCTTCGAACAAGACTCTTCACCCTCTCCCACCTTTCCTCATTCATGGTGTGGTTGACTCAGTTGCGACATATCCTCTAAACCATTACCGGGTTCCCAAAGCCACAGGACGAAGACCCGGTTTTCTGCGTCGATGAAGTAGGCCTACAAAGCGTTCTACCTGTTTGGGCATCAACAATGCCCTTCACTACCGGACAAGAGAATTTGCTTCGGCTAAACCAAGAGACCTTTGACTTCAACATTCAATTTGAGCAATTGTTCTTCTCCATCATTCCGTCCGCTTTATTCATCATAACATCAGTATGGCGGACACTTTATCAGGCACGGAAACCTGCCGTGGTCAATGCGCCGGTTTTCCAATTGATAAAATTGGTATGCTCTTTTTCTCGTACAGACCGTCGATGTGCTAATTAACCTGCAATAGGGCGCTATCACATCATATGTGGGACTTGAGCTTTCACTTCTCATCTTGGTTGCGGCTGGTTCCTTCCGTGTGACCAACATTTTCATAGCTTCCTCGGTTCTCAATCTTGTCTCTGCCCTACTCATGATCACACTGAGTGTTGTGGATCACAGCAGGAGCCCAAGACCGTCTGTACTGCTCAGCACCTATCTGTTTTTGACTCTTTTTCTGGACGTGGCCCAGGCAAGAACGCTGTTTCTGTCATCAGATGACAGTCCAGAACTCACCTATAGCAGCATCTTTGTCACTGCTCTAGCTCTGAAGACCGGCATCTTGTTATTGGAAGCTCAGCAAAAGTCCAGATGGGTGCGCTGGGACGAAAAGGACCATAGTCCAGAGGAGACGAGTGGCATCTTTTCCTTAGGAGTGTTCTTCTGGCTCAACAAGATATTCCTGGATGGCTACAGCAAGCTCTTGACGATTGGAGACCTTTACCCACTAGATAGCTCTTTTAACGCCAGAGCGCTCCATGACGAGTTCTTGAAGAACATTGAGTACTCTAATTTGAAGAGTGACAAGTTTGGTCTGGTGAAGGTGCTGATCTGCACACTGAAAGTTCCTCTTCTTGTTCCTATACCTGCACGCCTGGCACTTCTTTGCTTCACATTTTGCCAACCGCTCTTCCTTGAAAAGCTATTGGATTACTTATCCCAGCCGGAACTCGACAAAAACATCGGATATGGCTTCATCGGTGCTAGCCTACTCATCTATTCGGGACTGGCTATATCAATGGGCTTTTACTGGTATCTAAATGCCTATGAGAGGACGATTAGCCACGTTGGAAGGTCCGCTGCTGATACAAAAACACAGGTACTTCCATCACAGAATGCGCACCATGGCCAAGTCAATGCTAGCTACTGAGATTTTTATCAAAGCCACAAAAGCTCGTATTGGGACTGGAGATGAAAGTGCTGCGCTGACTTTGATGAGCACGGACATGGAGCGAATCGACATGGGTTTCAGAAATCTCCATGAGATTTGGGCGAGCTTAGTTCAAGCAGCTCTCGCCGGGTGGATGTTGTATAACCGAATTGGTGTGGCATTCGTCGCACCGGTGGCAATTGTCATAGTCTGTTTCATCGGCTTAGGGATCCTGATACAATTCACGGGGGATTCGCAGAGGTCCTGGATGGCAGGAGTCCAGAAGCGGGTGGGCCTCACTGCCACAGTCATTGCTAGCATGAAGAACTTGAAGCTATCTGGCCTCTCGGCTGCTATGGGCGACTTCGTACAGGATCTCCGTGTGCGGGAACTAGCTGCTGGATCCCGGTTCCGCAAAATTACCATCATTGCGGCACTCTTGGGCTTTATTCCGCTGTTAATCAGCCCGCCTTTGACATTTGCATTCACACAGAAAAACTTCAATGCATCGACGATTTTCACCAGTCTTTCTTTCCTTACCCTCTTGACCAACCCGTTGTCTCAGGTCTTCCAATCAATCCCACAACTTGTCTCCGGGTTGGCGTGTTTAGGCCGAATTCAGGCCTTCTTGGAGTGCGAGACTCGCCATGACTTTCGCCAAGTTCTAGATGACGTGAGGCAAAATACCGAAAAGTCTCGAGCTGAGACCGGAACATTATCGGATTCCGAACCAGACTCAGTGGATCCTCTCGTCATCAAGAAAGGAAACTTTGGTTGGGAAGCAGACAAGTTCGTTTTGAGGAATGTCAGCACTCGAGTACCCAAGTCCTCACTCACCATTGTCATAGGACCTGTTGGTTCTGGGAAGACCACGCTATGCAAGGCACTGCTTGGTGAAATCCCTTTCAGCGAAGGCAGCGTGGTCTTAGGTACTAGATTTCCTCACCTTGGATTTTGCGAACAAACGGCATTCCTCTCAAACGGGTCGATCAAAGACAATATTGTGGGATTCTCTCCACGCAATAATGAGAGGTATGCCGAAATTATTAAGGCTACCTCCCTGGACTTTGACTTTGCTACACTACCACAGGGAGATCAAACTAATATCGGCTCGGATGGAATCGTCCTATCAGGGGGCCAGAAACAACGGGTTTCCCTTGCACGAGCTCTATATTTGCACTCCGACCTTCTAGTGCTAGACGATATCTTCAGTGGTCTGGATGCGGATACCGAGGAGAAGGTCTTTCAGCAGGTATTTGGGCCAGATGGACTACTCAAGCAACGGGGCTCTACTGTTTTACTGTGTACCCACAGCATCAGGCACCTCCCCGCGGCTGATCATGTAATAGCACTCGGCAATGGGACCATTATTGAGCAGGGTAGCTTTCAAAAACTGATGGCCAGTCAAGGATATGTTCAACGTCTGGGATTGAAGAGCTCTTCCGATGACGCTGCCTCTTCCGAGAAAGCGACTTCAAAGAAAGCCCCACAGGAATCAAAGGCGGAAATTCTTCATTCTACAACGACAAATAAATCGTCAACTGCACCACATGCGGATGAATCGCGTCAAATTGGCGACAAGACGGTGTACAAGCATTATTTCAAGAGCATGGGATGGCTTCTGGCAGCAAGCAGTTTGCTCGTCGGTGTTCTTTTCGGGTTTTTCACGAACTTCCCAACAGTTTGTGAGTCAACTCTGGCTTCAGATAGTAGAACCACGGCCATCGTGGCCTTTCAGCTAAGAGAAATACAGCCTATCATGAAACTAGAAGTGTTGTATCTAACTTGACATATCGCAGGGCTTACCTACTGGACCGATGACATCTACTCGGAATATCCAACACACTCGTACGCTTACTACGCAGGGGTTTTTGCCTTGTTTCAAGTTTGCGGCTTGATCTCGCTGCTTGTCCTTGGCGTGTTGATCTTGATCATCTCTGTGGAAAGGGCAGGTGCTAGTCTCCACCAAGAGGCCTTACGGACCCTTTTTCAAGCACCGCTATCCTTTTTCACCAATACGGATACTGGGGTTGTCACAAATCTGTTCTCACAAGATCTCAACCTTATAGACACAGAGCTGCCAAATGCAACAATGAACACTATTATTTCCGTACGTTAATAAAAAAACACACGCCGATCGAAACCCTGCGGTGGCTGCTACTCGCACATAATGTGTCCTCAAAGTCTGTCCAAATATCTGACACAGATTTTAGGCATTTCAAGCACTCGGACAAGCAGCTGTTATGCTTACATCGTCTGTGTACTTGGCCATAAGCTACCCATTCCTCGTCGCCCTGCTCTGGACCTTACAAATGTTCTACCTTCGGACATCCAGGCAGCTGAGGCTGTTGGACCTTGAGGCTAAAAGCCCTTTGTAGTAAGTCCATCACTCTCTCTGCCACATGCTGGGCATTATTCCTTATTGAAACTAATCTGCATCTCTTTAGCACACATTTCATTGACACCGTCAAGGGAATCACAACCTTGAGAGCTTTCGGTGAGTGGCATACGAATCGAAACCCAAAACCGAGCACAAATCTATTAAGACGCCTTGGAACCCCCTGAGCTATAACATGGCTTCGCTGACACTAGAGATACCCAGGTTTCATTTCTGATGATATCGACAAGAATACTCGCCTAATTAATGCCAGTCAACGACCCGCGTATCTTCTCCTCATGATTCAACAGTGGCTGAACCTCGTCCTTGATCTTGTAGTCATGGTGATTGCAGTGGTCATGACGACTCTTGCCGTTCAGCTCCATTCCAACTCTGCTTTCGCCGGTGCCTCCTTGTTCTCCCTCATGAGTTTCGGTGAGAGCATTTCAGGCATTGTCGTATTCTACACCAAGCTAGAAACCTCTATCGGGGCAATCGCCCGTCTCAAATTGTTCAATGAGAACGTCAAGCCCGAGGACAGAGATGAAGAGGATATAGTTCCTCCTATACAGTGGCCGCAGAACGGTGTGGTGGAATTAAAGGGCGTATCTGCGAGTTACGGGTAAGAGAGATATGTCTTTAAAGATGCTACCTTAATTACACTATGTGCTAATCTACGGAGCAGCGCAGAAGATCAACTCGACAACGCGTCCAAAACAGCCCTCCGCAACATCAACCTCACCATCAACAAAGGCGAAAGAGTTGCCATCTGCGGTCGTACCGGCAGTGGCAAGTCCAGTCTCATGGCCTTGCTCCTTAAGATCTTAGATCCTCTCCCGGAGACAGCCGGGAACGCAATCATCGACAACACGCCCCTCAACCGCATTGACCGGGCTGCACTCCGTGAGCGCATAATCGCAGTACCCCAGGAAGCCGTATTCCTACCAGACGGGTCCACCTTCCGAGCAAACCTGGATCCCTCCGACGCTTCAACACCTGAGGAATGCGCAGTTGTACTTGTTGCCGTGGACCTGTGGGAGTTTGTGCAGGAACGGGGTGGTCTGGATGCAGGAATGAGCGCGGGGACACTCAGTGCAGGACAACGGCAACTCATGTCACTTGGGCGTGCGCTACTGAGACGTTTTATCCGCACACGGAATGGCTCGAACTGTGGTGTGTTGTTGTTGGATGAGGTGAGCTCAAGTGTTGACCACGAGACGGAACGTGTTATGCAGGACATCATCAGGGTGGAGTTCAAGGACTACACAGTCATAGCGGTTAGTCATCGGCTGGATATGATTATGGACTTTGATAGGGTTGTTGTTATGGAAACGGGAGAGATTGTGGAGGTTGGAAATCCTGCAGTACTGGCCGGACAGACAGGGACGAGGTTTGGAGATTTGGTCAGAGCTGGGGCCAAGTAGAAGCCAACTTTAGCTTGAGCTTTTTGAGAGGAATTTCGACGTCTAGTCAAAGTTCGTAGTCTTCCTTCGTGCCGAATGTGTACCTGGACCCGATCACTCAAGATTCGTGTTGTCAGTGTGGGTTTGATTTCGTATCAGCTGTTGAATGATCGCAAACGCTTGAAAGAAGGCTGTTCACTCGCTTGCTGATTTGTTCTTGCTGCGCCAGTTTTCATTTGTTTAACCTGATTCTAAATTGGACTTAACGAGTCAACATTTTACTTCGTTGAAGCTAGTCCAAACCCAGTTGCCGTATTTTCCCACATTTTCTGCACGCCCTGGATATTCTCGTCCGTGGTGGAGAGACGTGCAATTTGGTCGAGGACGGCACGCTGACGGAAAATCTCAATCTCATTTTCGATTTGGTTTCACTCTAGAATAAGCTTCCTAATCACATCATCGAGCGCCACATGTGCATCCCGTTGCACACGTTGGGTAGGGTCGTTCCATCTAGGAGCGCCATGGCTTTCTCATTCTTGGGCAACATCCTATAATTGACATGACGGTGAAGTCTCTTACGATCCAGGTCAAGTTTCACATTGTCTCACATCCTCCAGGGGCTCTTTTTTGTGCTTCTCTGCTCTAGAGAGGCACGGAGGTTGGCTGTCGAGTACTGCACGAAGGCGAATTATGCTCATTTCTCATCCCGCTAGGCTCCTGGAACATCTTCCTGATCACTTCTTCGAGCGCCACAAATCAGTCCCGTTTGGATTGGGCTCTGCTTGTTCCAAAGAGTTTGGATCGGCCGGCTTCGGGACTTATCGTTGAGATGCATCTTGAACTGAAATACCGGTATCGTTTAGGCCTATGAATAGCGAAGCTCAAATACCAAAAAAAAAGGTTCATATAGAACATCTCCCTTTGGGGAGTGCGGCAATAGAGAGGCATAAGTAAACAATTCTCTAAGGTCTCTAACTAAAATGATCACATCCCTTTTCCAATCTATCCGGACAACGCTAACTTAACATACATCCACCTCGTACAGACTGCGCTACCATGGCGGTCCGTATATTTTCCGGGTAATCCACCGTGTTTTCATGTCTTGGACCATGGGTTTCGCCATGCTTGATCAAGGGCTATGTTGTAGTAATATTAGGTATCTTGCATCTGTAGGCATCCATTTGACCAATAGTCGATTCCGACCCCTGGCCGATATACACCGTACACATAAATCTTTTATTTTCCTATGTTGTAATTCCTCTCCATGTTGCATGACATGCAATCACGTGCTTTGTGCAGTGTCACGTGATTTATTCATCGACCAAGTGGGGACACTCCTAGACCCACCTGCCTACCGCTTCTGCAAAGCCCCGGGCCAACCTTGGAACCGCTTATGATAGAGATCTATGGTTTCAACACTGTATGAAACTACCAATAGATAGGGGATGAAAAATGCTCTTGAGTTCTCTAACTAAAATAACCAAATCCGCTCTTTTTCTAATCTATGCGGATAAAACTGAATAACCATAACATTTAATTTATGTAGGCCATACCATCATGGCGGTCCGTAGATTTTCCGGGGAATTCTATCCTGTTTTCAATCTTGGGTTATACCATTGGTTTCGACAGCTTATCTAATGCGCGGCCTGTTTTCAAGGTGAATTTTGTTGACTTGCTTTTTCTCTGCTTTTTCGAGTTCGTTCCTTCTCAGTGTGCAGTCTTCTTACTCTATCTTCCTTTTTCCTTTCGGCGCTCTTCACTGGCTCTTCACTTGTTTAACCCAGGGTGATTGTTGTTTCGCGTTGCTTGGCGCATACAACATTAATTAGGCATCCATTCAAGATGCACGATGATGATTACCCTACAGATCAATACTCTAGATGGGACCCACGGGGATGGTCCTTGATGAAGAAGGTTTTCCTAGCGGTTGGCATTATCGTTGTGATTGTGGCAGTCGTCGTTGGGGCGGTTCTAGGAGTGCGAGCCAATCGGTACCCCAAGTACTCAAAACTGAACTACAGTTTGAAAGATGAATTTTCGGGACCGTCCTTTTTTGACAACTTTGAATATTTTACTGGCGCCGACCCTACTCATGGATTCGTTCAGTACGAACTTTTAGAGGCCAAGTCTCTCATGCCACGCAACTCAACTAACATGTGATCCAGGTATATAGACCGAGCTGCAGCCACATGGCTGAATCTAACATCCGCCACGGATACCTCCGCGGTGCTCAAGGTGGACACGACATTTAGTGGTTCGGAGGCGGCTAGTGGACGCCAATCTGTTCGAGTTACGTCCAAAAACACCTATGCTGATGGGCTGTTCATTTTCGATGTTATCCACACCCCGTATGGATGTGGTACATGGCCAGCCCTGTGGCTAACAGACCCGAGCAACTGGCCGGAGCACGGAGAAATTGATGTCGTGGAAGCTGCCAACGCTGGAACGTTTGGAACTCAGTCGACGCTTCACACGTCGAAAGGCTGCTCCATGGGCGTTAAGCGGAAAGAAAGTGGCAGTGTGGATCAAAAGGACTGCTATAATGAGGCCAATGATAACTCGGGATGTGGTGTGAAAGGCACTAAGAGTTCTTATGGTCCTGAGTTCAATAGCAAGGGTGGCGGAGTAAGTGATGGTTTTCCGATGTTGACCCCAACTATCCATGGTTCTTCCATTGAAATGAGGTAACTAATAAGCATTAACTTCAGGTTTATGCAATGGAACTCCGTGAGGCCGGTATTCGCGTATGGCAATGGGCCCGCTCACAGATCCCGTCCGACGTCACCTCGGGCAGTCCCGACCCATCTACCTGGGGCCAGGCATTCGCAGACTTCCCTAGCACGCATTGCGATATCGGTTCTCATTTTAAGAACCAGAGCATTATCATCAATATCTCCCTGTGTGGGGACTGGGCCGGAGCGAACAAGTATTACAAGACACAAAGTAGTTGTCCTGGCAACTGCGCCACATTCGTGCGGGACAACGCGACTAGTTTTAGGACAGCGTACTGGGAGTTTGGTGGCTTTAAGGTCTATCAGACCTCGTGATTTGTCGAATTGTCTTCGCAACATAATGTGAATCTGAATTTCTGAAGACGTGGATTTCATCACTGCCAAGGCGTTTGGGTCGTGAATTTCATGTGAAGAGCGGAGGTATTAGGTTAGGCTGTCCAACTGGCTTGCAGACCGTTACATCAATGGTGAACAGAAACTACCATTCTATCAATTTTTTGAAATTTCGTTATAGGAAACCTGACCACAAGCCCTACATTCGAAATCATCCTTTGTTCTTCGAAGTCTCCAGAGATCAACAAGTCGACAGGTGAATCATTGGACCTTGCCTCTCGAGTCGACTGGCCAGATTTCTTCAATGGTTCCCCCTCGATGGGCGTAATAGAAATCATGCAAGTTTACCGTGGGGTCAATGTGACTCGGCACCATCTCGACCCGATCCCCAACCGAAAGCGCTGGAGTACCATCCTCCCAAATAAGTGAGCCATGTTCGTCACCAAGAACACCATAAGTGTATCTCGGATCCCTGCACTCTGCTAATCCACTATCCGTCGTCAAAGATTTCAACCCACTGTCGATTGTGACCGACCGAGGTCCTTGTTTGCTCAGAACAGTCGACAGAATGGTAAGACTGTTCGAATAGAATGTGCCCACGGCATTTCGGTAATCCGTATCCATGAAAATAAACGATCCAGGCTGGAGCTCGGTGACACCCGGTACAGTGGCGCAGAACTCAGCGGTTCCAGTTCCTCCTGTAGTAACCACCTCAATGTTGAAGCCCGCCTTCCGCAGCACGTCCGCAGTGCTGGTGAGGGTCTCCATGGATTGCAGACATTGACTCTTCCGATCTTCTTTATCATGCAAATGCTGCAAATGACCCTCATAGCCATGAAGCCCAATCAGTTTCAATTGCGTCAGACCCTGCACATGCCGTGCTAGAGTCATGGCTGGGTCACCCGGCAGGACACCAGTACGATGAAGCCCAACATCGAGGTCAATCAAAACCGAGATTGGCTCGTCAATACCGGCTTTCGCCAAAGCCTCGTCAATCGCCGTTGCGCCAGCTTCGCTGTCAACAACTATCCTGATCTTACGATGCTTGCGGTATAGTTCCGCCAGCCGTTGTACTTTCGTGGGGCCGATGATCTCGCAGGTGATAAACAGGTCGTCGAATCCGGCTGCGGCAATGACTTCGGCCTCGCTTACTTTGGCCACACAGCCCCCCTTCGCGCCCGCTTTGACCATTTTGTTGGCTAGGATCGCGCTCTTGGTCGTTTTCAGATGGGGGCGGATGTCGAGACCGGTTGGTAATAGCTTGTCCATTAGCTTTTTAACGTTGGCTTCGACGAGATCCAGATCTACGATCATGGATGGTGTGTCGAGGGACTCGACCCTGTCGCCGACCTTGGGGGAATACATGTTGAATTCGAAGTCGTGAATCTGAACGAGGTTCAAAGCCAGTTTGGTGCTGGTGATTGTTAGTGGTTGGGTTTGAATGAGAAGTTGCGTACAATATAGGACGGAAGGGGGGTTGCAATTTATGAGTTGACGAGAGGATGCAAGGGGTCAAGATGTATCGTCGTGCCCCATGTCGTACCTCCGCACTATGGATTGCCCATCAATGGAGTGGGGGGGGGGTTAACATTTTACCATCATTGGTACGGGATACGATATTGCAATTTTTTTTAAAAAATGAGCCTGGTTCATTCTGATTCCACAAAGCTGTTGGAGATTCATACACCACAGGATTAGACTAGCACATTTAGGTAATGCCACATAGAGTCTCCCGCATACAATAGATTGACCCTGTATAATGTCGTCTATACCATGGCCCTTGGGACTTTGGGTTGAAATAATTTTGAACTAATTTATAACGCTTAGCTTGGTATACGTGCGGTTTCTAGAGATTCATGAACAAGTGGTCAATGATCAATCTTTGAGAGATTCTTTCATATCCTTTTAGACGGCTGTTTCACTGATCAGATCAGTGCTCAAAAGCCATACAGGATATCTGGGTTTAAGCCCTTCTCATCGAAACGACCCCTGAAGCATTCGATCCCAGGATTTCGCACTTCAGCCTGAGGACAACCAAATCCTCCACAACTATCCCTTTCCCACTGAATTCTGACGAATGCGGATCGATACTTTAAGCAAGCTTCAGTGCCCGTCTGCACTGGAGGCTCAAGTAGTGTTTCAAATCACCTTTCTTTTGCCTCTAAGAATCCACACCCGTCTAGCCAAAGGCCAGGTTTGCAATCTTTTACATCAAGATTAGATATCAGTAGAAGTCTAGACGGTTTTCTTGAGACATCATTTGAGGCCGGGAGAGGGTTTCTTAGGCCTGTTCTCTGTGGCAAAATCTACTTGACAACGTGTAGCATGCAGCGAGATTCATTTTTGAACCGAACCGCCCGGCCCCCTATCAAGCTAACATTTATCAACTTCCACGATATCACAACTAAGAGTAAGAACGGAATGAGAGGAACGACGATGATTATTTTTTTTTTCTCGCTGTGGAGAAGAGGTGGTATCTACTGAACAGGCAGGTTAATGAGAAACAAGGGTTTTTTTCTAGACTGCAAGGCTCCTAACATTTACGTCCATTTTCCAGCTATCCGCATGAATGCAAAGAAACGATGAAAGGATTCAAACAAGAAGAAGCCTTATGAGAGCTAAGAATTTCCGTGATCCTTTCCCCAAGAATTGATTCCTTTCCCCAAGAATTGATTAGGCCATTGTGCTATCTTCCTCATAGCTCAACGAGCTAATTGTTTGGGCGACGGCGGATCAAAATCACTAGCGTTGACTGCACAGGTCAGCATACATTCATTCCTCACTAAGACTCGAGTCCCCACGTACCAATCGACATCATCATGAGCCCAAATTCATCAGCTTCTCCCAGCCACCTTTCCGCCCGCGAATCCATGACGACACCTGGTCTAATCTTACCAAATTCCGCTTGCAGATAACCCCTGCCACTCCACCGCGATAACCAATGGATATAACGTATGTTCCACTCTTGTTCTGTTTGAGCCTGCCAAAGCACCTTTGCCGCTGGCGCGGGCATGAACCCGAGGTCCTTGCAGTCGAAACACGGTACCTTGTGCAAGACCGAGTTTGCCCAGTGGAGGAGATACAAGACAAGAATTGCACGGCGCTTCGAGGTTACTTGTATCCAAGCATCCCAGGATGGTCTCATTTGCAATCTTTCTTCCACAAGGAATAGGCCCCCGTGGACGACATAATAAACCAGGAGTTCCACTTTGCGAAAGAGGATGGAGTAATCGATAAGAGGGCGGGGTAACCGTGCTGATGGGGATATCAGAATGATCGTATATATGACCACTGCTTGTAAGGCTGCTAGCAGGGTTGTCTCGTCGAGTTGCTCGGGCTACAACCCGGTTTTGGGTTCTTCAGCACAACAAGGACAAGGAAGAGGAAAAGAGAAGAAACTGACCTGATCTACAATGCTGTATAGTTCTTTTAAAATCGTTTCCCGCACCATCTCTTCTGCGCCTTGACATTGCCCATGCCACATTTTTGTCAAGGTTATACAGTTCGCTAGTGGCAGTGGCAGTGGCAGTGTCTTATTTGGTGTAAGGTGGGTTAAGTGAAATAAAGGAGGATGTTGAAATTCTTCGGCGAGCATTATTGGCCAAGTCCGAAGAACTCGGAAGATAAGCTCCATGCTATGCTTCGCCAGGGATGTTGAATTCGTGTCCGCTGGCGAACCAGATCGAGGATTTGGAGGTAGGGTAGCTCGGTTTAGCCCTGGCGTCTCACATTCATTGCTGTTATTTACAGACAAGAGCTCCGCGCTGGCTGCTTGCGGAGAACGTAGAGCAACACTCGTGGCCTGTGTCGGATTCCAAGAATCTAGACACGAGAAAAAAGAGTCGAACAAAGTAGGATCGAAGATTGATTGTAACTCAGATGGCTGGGTCGTGAAAGATGTTTCGGGTACAACACTTGAGGAATGATTCGTGACTCTGACGTCGTTGTGCTCGACTCCCGGGGTGTCAGTTGCATCTGCGCTGGTGTATTGACAAGGTATGCTTCGCACAGAACAACGAGAACAACTCGGACGTTTAAGGTTGCACCTGGTTTTATCTGCGACACACTGATGGCATGACTTGCGTCTCCGAGTTTGCGGTTGAGATCTATTACAATTGTTCTTTAGGTGGCGGATAAGCGAGGATCCTGTCGAGGTTTTAGTTCCAGCTCCAACAAGGAAGGATTCAAGCATACGATGGCTGAAGTGAGTAGCACAGAACGGACAGTCAGAGTTCTTTTCGGTGGATTGCATTTTAATTGCGGGGCTTAGTTACTCTTGGAGTAAAGGGAGGTGGGTGTTGATTAAAATGAAGTTCACTTTAACTCGGAACTCCGGGTTGCTTGTTGAGTGGGGTCCGGGTGGACATTGGAACGGTTGGAAGCATATAATAGACCACATAAATTGTCTGCGAACTCGTTTTCACGTTTGAGTCAATTTCAGGAAAATGACAGTCAATCAAGTTTTCTTTTGGGCTTCCTCTACTAAGCACACACTACTGCGATCATTTTATCTTCTGCAGCCGATTGGGGACAGGCAAGTCAGGCCACGAAGCCGTGGATCAATTCTACCAGCTGGCGTTCTAAGTTGGAATTAAACGCATCGCTTGGATTAGATATGGCTAGAGGCTAACTCTATTCCAGGCAACATGGTAGCCAAAACAATGAAGGCCCAGGGTTTCAATTCAGCCCTATCTGATAGGATCCTAGGAACTTGGCATACAATGGGAAGCCAAAACTCTCGAGATTCCATGAAAAAGGTCTATAATCCACTATGAACTGAACAAAACAAGACTGAATGCCTAATCCTAAATGCAGAACTATACATAAGCAATCCAAACACCGACGAGTGGGTGCTCGGCAATTTCGAATCTTCCTTTACCTAAATCCTACTTCAATCTTAATCCCAGCATCTTTGAGTTGATCGACATATTCCATCCCCAGAAATAATGTTGCAACTACCCCACCATATCCACAAGTGTCCTTTCTTGCCATATCGGCACTAATCTTGTGATCAAGCAGTACCCTTGCTCAGATAGAGGTGAAATGTGCAGTGAGCTCATACAACGCGGCGCGGTGGTCGTCAGGTTATCAGGTTGTCAGGTGGTATTTTACTAGTCGCTCCTAGTAGTATTAGGGTTGCTTCTAGTAGAAGGTAGATAATGACAAACCTCAAATACGGCCTCCCTAGGCCATAAACAGGAACCTTGGTTTTGGTTATGGTCTAGTGGAAAAGTACGCTGTATTTCGTTCAACAGATAATACTAGTAGGAAGTAGTAAAAATGAATTAACGTATTTCACATGCGAGCTACGCACACAACCGAGCTACACACCCCACCTAGAATTCCGCAAAGCCCAACTTTGGGTCCAAGGTCCGGGCTCGTCGAGCCCCCCCCCCCTGGGCTCGAAATTGCATAAAACATAGTCTTGGCGTTCAAAAAATGGCTGAATATATAAAGACCTTATGTCACGGTGCGAACCGTGATGCTTAGTTAGAGGAAGATCACGGCACGTGATCTCCGACCTGTTTATCTGAACTTCAGTTCTAGATCCTGTTGTAGCTCTGGGAGCTACGTCTTGTATAATAGCCTGCCCCTGCCTGTACCTGTCAATGGGAATCTGATCTGTTATGACCTGTTCCTACCAGCCATCTCCTATCATACCGTCCTGCCAGCCCGCACCCTGACAACCGGAAGAGTTTAGAAGGTTACCTTTATAAGCTATATAGGGGCTCTATTAACTAGAAAGCGTCGAAATAAAAGACTATTACGATATCGACTGCCGAAGTAGAACTTCTTACCCTTATAGAAGTAGGAAAAACTATCTAATAGTGGCGCCGAGTCCTCTATATATTAGGATTCGAACTAGATCACCTACTTTCTATTATATCTTACC